CCAGACCTGTCTGAGGCTGTTGGCCGAAGCTCAGAAGCCACTTACACTGCTGGTAATAACCCACCCATGTCACAAAGCAGCGCCAGCTAATTGACCCAGACACTCCCATTCCCTTTATGCTTTCCTGTGCATCTTTTCCTAAGCAATCCTTCTTTCTTACTCATCTGTTTTCTTGCTCTGTCCCAGAAGTCACCGACCAAAGACAAGGTGATCTGCTAAAACGGCCTGTACGTGGTCTTCTGACCTCTCTCCCACGGCCTCACTGCACCTAAGCCAACACATCCAGCTGGTACCTTGCTAACACGGTCGTTGCATTACCCCTTCCACATTTTCTCTTCCCAGACCCAGGATGTGGACAGGTAAACCTTTCTGGGCCTGCGTTGTCACTGGAGCTCCCTTCCCCCACAGTGCATCATCGTTACTCCCCCATCTTTCCCTGAATGCTGGATACTGCATGTCCTAACCAGCCCCTGGCATTCCCATGGGTGCGCAAGCCAGGCTCCCTATCCTTCTGTTGGCCAAATGTGCATTTGTACTAGCAATTAGTCTTTTCCCAACCCTCTTCACTGTCGTGTTTTAACCCCAGCCAGCAACTAAGCACCATGCAGCTGCTCTATCACTCCCCTTCCTCAAGTGGACAGGGGGGTGAAAATATAACAAAAGGTTCATGGGTCGAGATAAGGACAAGGAGGGAGGGATCACTCACCAATTACTGTCAAGAGCAAAACAGACTCAACTTGGGGAAAATTAATTTATTACCAATCAAACCAGAGTAGGGTAACGAGAAATAAACCCAAATCTTAAAACACCTTTCCCCCACCCATCCCTTCTTCCCGGGCGCAACTTCACTCCCAAATTCTCTACCTCCTCCCCTGTCAGCAGCACAGGGGGACAGGGAGTGGGGTTGGGGTCAGTTCATCACACCTTGTCTCTGCTGCTCCTTTCTCCTCAGGGGCTGGACTCATCACTCGTCCCCTGCTCCGGCGTGGGGTCCTCCCCCGGCTGCAGGTGGAGACCTGCTCCCCCGTGGACCTCCCTGGGCTGCAGGGGGACAGCCTGCCTCACCGTGGTCTTCCCCACGGGCTGCAGGGGAATCTCTGCTCCGGCGCCTGGAGCATCTCCTCCCCCTCCTTCTGCACTGACCTTGGTGTCTGCAGGGTTGTTTCTCTCACGTGTTCTCACTTCTCTCTCTGGCTGCAGTTTCTGTGCCACAGCAACTTTTTTTTCCCCCTTCTTAATTATTTTATCACAGAGGCACTACCACTGTCACTGATTGGCTCGGCCTTGGCCAGCGGCGGGTCCGTCTTGGAGCCGGCTGGCCTTGGCTCTGTCGGACATAGGGGAAGTTTCTAGCAGCTTCTCACAAAAGCAACCCCTGTAACCTCCCCACTACCAAAGCCTTGCCATGCAAACCCAATACATTCATGTAGGATTACAGGTCTATGACACAGCGCTGTCTGGATCTCCATGAGAACCTGGAGACACATGTGCTGATGCTCAGTATTTCAAAGAGAAAGAGTTAGTTTATTCACACTGGGAAATCTTGCCTCTCTGGAGGACTTTCCTGGTACATCCCAAACAAATGTCCACGCTGTTCCCTGCTGAGAGGCTTTGGTCCCGTGCACACATTCTCTTCACATAACTAAGAGCACTTTGAGAGGGGTGAAAAAAAAACAAGCACGTGTGCCAGCCACAGTCCCAGCACATTCAACAGCCATTGACTCATACATGTGCAATTTCACAAGCCCATGGTTTGATCTGCCCTTTCCAAACCAATTAGCCACATGTGGCCTTGAAAATATGCACCTGGATGGGACCCCGAGGCATCATGTCATCCCTCTCTCTCCCTGAGGCACAAGCAACTCTACCTACAGCATTCCTGAGCGGTATTTTGTCTAACCTGTTCTTAAAACCTCCAGAGGGGGAGATTCCAGTGTCCCAAAGCTCTTTCAGTATTATCACATCCTACCACTATGGAATTTTCTTGGTGGCTCATCTAAAACTACCTTCCTGTGATGTACCAGGAAGCGACCTTCCTCCTGCAGAGATTCTGGGTCACTGTGGGTTATACCAAGCCTGCCGGGTGGCATGGCCCCAGGTCTCGGTGCTTGTGGCCCTGCTCCAAAACTGCTGATTGGCACAAGGGAATTCCACTGCTGTTACAGTCTGCATCAGCTGCCACCACATGTCTGCCTGCGCTGGCAAGGCACTCCCGTCTTCAAGGAGCAGCAAGCCCCAGCCAAAACACCTTCATGGCACTGCAGCAAAAGTTACATTCATCTCAGCAACTGGCATAAGTCATCATTTGGCCTGGATCCACATTTCCTACCTATGGGAGGCCAATGACAGAAGTCCAGACCATCCAAAACTCAGAGTGATTGAGTCTGCGGGCCAAGATAACATTCACGTGAAAAGCAGAGGTGTTATTTTCCCCACAACGTGCTCTGAGAGTGTGCAAGTAATAGCAAAGATCCCCCCCCAAAATGCAGGGGCACTGCGGAAGCAACAACTGGAGTGTGCCTCTGCAGAGTGGACAGTCAATCCTGAGCTGACCTGACGTGCATGCCAATTGCCTCGGGTGGCTCTGCAGACGAGGCACACCAATTAGCATTTTTCCATACTGTGCTTTCCATATTCTTCCATCTTCAGATGGGTATAGTATGGTCATCACTTCCTGCCCTAAGAAGTCATCTACTCTTGCTTTATTCTATTTGTCAACAGAAAAAATTGGGGGCCATGTTTCATTCCACCTATCAGATGAAGCTATTTATTTTCTGTATTTGCCTGACTATGAGTGAATTTGCCGAGTGCTGTGAGCTGGCAGGCACGTAGGACGCATCCCCTTTTACAGGGACTGGTACTGCATGCTTCAAGGGAATTTGTAAAATCCCAGTAGTGGATATTAGTATAATGACAAAAATTTTATCATTTTTAGTACAGTGACATACCCACGGAATAGGTTTCTACTAGGCACAGATGGTAGGCTGATGCCCTGAACGAAACAAATTACATACATTTTACGCAAAAAAAAAAAATTAAAAAAATTAAGATTACTCTAATATAAAAGTCCATTGAATTTTTGATCCACCAGATCTTTAGCACAGAGTGCATAATAAGCACGTAAGATCCTTAATGAAGAAATATCAATGAAAATATTTTGCTTTCCAGGCTGCTCTTAACCAGCTTCTGTTAATTCTTCTCCTAGTACCTGTTCTCATTGTATTTTCCATGTCATTCTTTAGGTGTGGGGAAAACATCTTAAATTTGACAACTTCAGCACATCAGACGTCAAGTCCTTTCTTAAGACTCCCTCCTACAAAACACAGATTTATACCCATTTTTATTATTTCCCTCATCTCCTTTTCCCTCTGTGTTTTAAATCCTCCTCCTCCTCCTTTGTAGTTCAGGTTCCTACTGAAACCCTAGGCTGCTTGGGGACAGCAACAGCCTTCAAACGTGAACACCTTCCCCCCAGAACAAGGCTGCGAGCCTAATAGACGTCCCTCAGCCCTGAAACAGTAATACAAGAAATCATTAGCTTCCACATACCAAGAAGGGTAATTAGAGGGGCTAAAGCCGAGTTCAGCTCATCGATACCCACCGGGCAGCAAGGGGAACGAGAGGGTTTGTGGGGTACGTTTGTGTTTGGGGCAGAAAGCAGGTGGTCAGTCCGCTAACGGTCTTGCTACCATTTTCTTACGTGCAGAAGGGACACCCGTCCCCTTGGCGCAAGACCAAGCTGTGTTTCGGAGGAGCTCCAGCGCAGGAGCCACAGCTGCTTCAAGCCGGCAGCCCTCACCGGGAGTGGGCAAAGATTTACAGCTACAAACAGATGGCCTCTCACACACCCCGCCGGCCTCCCGACGTGTTATTTAGATCTCTTTTTTTTAAAAAAAAAAAACAAACCAGATTAGCTCAGCAATATGGTTTCTCCTACCCCAAAACCACCAGGGCGGTACACGGCGGTGTGCAGGCGGGAAAGCTGTGGCCTAGCAGCAGACTGGGATGGTTTGAAACGGGCTTTTTCCACAGAAAAACGTGACCGGGACCGCAGCCCGCTTGGCTGAGGCGCCAGGTCCAGGGCAGGCCAGGCTGAATCCCTCTGCCCGGCCCCGCCGTCTCCTCAGGACTCTCCCGCCCGCCGCCCGAAGCCCCTTCGCACCTCCTCGCTGAAGGGGCGAATGGGTGCGACCTCCCCAAGATGGCGCCGGCACCCCCCTCGCCCCCTGCGGGTCCCCCCCACCCCCCCCAGGGGCGGGGGGGGGGGAAGAGGCGCCGCGACCTCCACAACATGGCGCCGGTGGCCGCCCGCTCCCCGCCGCCTCCTCCTCCTCCTCCTCC